CACACACACACACACACACACTCACACGGTTAAAAACCATGGACAGAAAAGTTGGACAGGCACCCCAAAAAAGAGGAACCCAAATAGACAATAAGCACAAAAAGGCGCTCGCTCATGAGTTGGTAAGAAAATGCACACAGAGCCACGTGGGTAAGCACTCACCACTAGTGCTTGGAGCCGACACCAAGCAGTGACAGGGCACTGGACATCAAGGACCCAGATATGCTGCGGGCGGAAGTATAAACTGGCACAGTTACTATGGAAAGCAGATTGACAGCATAGAGTAAAATACAGGAAGCGTGTCATTTATCACCTAGTGATTCCCCTTCAAGGTGTAGTGTCCATCAAACATACACTTAGGTGCACCAGGAAACGTATCTAAGAATGTTCGTAGTGGTATCGAATAATAGCTGCAAACCAGAACGTCTATCGGGCATGGAGTAAATAACAAATTAACAGACTGTGAAATGCTGGACTGTAAGAAACGGGGGGAAAGAACAGCTGTATGACACACAGAAGATGGATCTTAAAGACAGCGTGTGAAAAGAGCCAAGCAGAACGGGGCGCATACTACGTGATGTAAGTTACATGAAACTTTTTAAAAAGGCAAAATTAAAGGATTTTTAAGACTGAAACTATGAAGAAAAGTAGGGAAGTGAATTCTATATACTAACTGTTAAATCACACTTTTGTTTAGAAAACCTTTCTATACGTTTGTTATGTTACCCACATACACACACACCCAAGTGAATATACTGTAGACATAATGTAGATATACTGTAGACATACTGGATAGAGATAGAAATGAACACAGCAGGATAAGGAGTAGCATTGTCTAAGTCCAAAGTCACGCTCTCTAAGAGAAGGCTGAAAGTCAGCATTTTAAGGAGAATCACCATCCTAGAGCGAGCACTGATGACGCTGCTAAGTGGGGCAAGTGGTGTCTTACGCAATCACACTACATATTCTATTGGTATAACTTGTAGGCGGGGTTATTATAGAGAAAATACATAGCACACATTAAATCCATAGGTTAAGAATCATCAAGGCTAAAAGTCTCCCAGAATCCCCACCTCGGAGGGGATATGTAGCTCCACAAAGTTATAGTTGGTGAAGCAGAAGCTCAAGTGATGGATGGAGAGAGCAGCCATCGGAGCCTCTGCTGCTGGGACACCCCTCCTCCTAGCATCGTGCCCCTTCTTCACTGCTCCCCCAGCAGCTGACTGGCTCCCCAGCTGTGACAGATGTACCAGCAGGAGCCTGAGTCATTTGCGCCCTGGGCCATCGCCTTCCACACTCTCGCGATGCTCCCTCTCTTCCCCACAGCTCTCGCACTCGGGGGGAGGGGGTGGGGGTTTGTGGGTCGGCTTGGTTCTGGCTAGGAAGAGAACGTCCCGATCATGAACACGCTCCCCACATCTTCCCCATGACGTTTAGTCCATGGACTCTCCCTGAACCACACTGCCCTTCCTGCCATCCCCAGTACCAGCAGCAGAGGCGTCTAGGAAGATGGCAGAGTCTGCAAAAGAGAGAAATTAAGCGAGGTGTCAAAGTACCCAGTGGATCTGAGGTAGTCGTCAAGATTATGGGGCAGGTAGTGACAACGAAGCGTAGAGAAGAACGTAGCCACGTGGCATGAGTGCAGAGTAGTACTGGGCTGGAAGCAGCGTGGGAACCTGGGACAGCACTCCCCTCCCATCTTCTTGCTCTTTGGTTCATGGGACTAAGAGACATTCTCAGCCTCTGTTCCGCAGGCTATCGGAGCCGAAGTGTAGTCAGGGAGGGTTGGGCTTCACGCCAGATCAGGAAGTGGAGGAAGCATCCACGGAAGTTGAGAGAGTCTTTATCGTGAAGGTAATTCTGCTTGAAACTGAAGAACACACAACAGTTCCCTGCACTTGGCTGCCCAAGCTCCACCCCTTGCGGTCTGGATGCCAGTCCTGTGGGCACAGTTATCCTTTGTCCTCCGGGAACAGATCTCTCTCCTCTCTCCCTCTGTCTGATGACTTTTCCTGTCCCTGGGTGTCTAGTAACTCTACAATCTTGTTATTCCCAATCCTTTTCTCAATCTAAACATTTTCCTCCTCTAGCCCCAAACGTTAGATTCCTCTTGGATTTTTGTCGTTATCTTCTAAAGCCAAATCCCGTTTTTCTCTCTTGGGAGAGACTAAGGTATATTCTGTTGACTTATAAACGTATCCGCTACACGGCTACTCCTTCAGCAGTCTGTCCCAGACTCACGGGAGAATTGGAATTCTTGACTGGTCAGCGAGAGGAAAGCTGCCTGTGAGGGCCCTCTTCCAGGCGTGCTCTGAATGCCCATGACCATCGTGCTCAGAGGTGCTGTGTCCATGAGACTTATCCTTTATGTGAGTAGGATTCAATGGGTGGGCGTGCAGGAGGAATGTGTATCATTGTTCCAGTCCTGGCTTTGATTTCATGCTCCACATTCTGAGCAAGAGAAAAATAACCCCAAACCACCTTCCTACTTCCTCTTCTACTTGGTTACCTCAATCTTTCTCCATTCATTCTTTTGGGGTTCACACCACCAGGTGGCACAAACTAAAGTGAGAATTCAGTGAGTCAGAATACGGGAAAAGCCGGGGACAGTGTCTTACATGCAACACGTGTTGGTTGTCTTTATCCTGAAGTGGAAAATCTGCTGTGAGGTCCTGTCCAGTAGGTCCACATGGGCTTATCTTTTGGAATTGGGGGCTTCATTTCCATAAAGGTTTGAGTCAATTAAAAGAGCGTTTATAAGACACTTATCATGCATACACAGCAACATGGGAAATAGATAGAAGAAGCATATGTAGTGGGCTGAATAATGTCCCCCAAAGATGTCAGATCCTAAACCCTGGGACCTGTAATACTGCCTTACTTGGAAAAGGGGTCTTTGCAGATATGGTTAAATTAAGGATCTTGAGAGGAAGAGATTATCCTGGATTATCGGCTGGGCCCTAAATGCAATCACGTGTGTCCTTATACGTGTTCATCCTTATACAAGGAGGATGAGGAAGATTAGACACACACAAAGAAGAAGGCAATGTGAAGACATAGCACAGACAGACTTGAGGATGCTGGCCTTGAAAACTGGAATGATGCAGCCACAAGCCACGGAATGCCAGCAGCTACCAGAAGCTGGGGGAGGTAAGGGCCAGATTCTTCCCTAGAGCCTCAAGAGAGAGTGTGGCCCTGCTAACTCCTTGGTTTTGAAAAGGAGGTGAGAATTGGGTTGTACTGACTTGATCATACACACACGCCAAAATACAACAAACAATGCAGGGCGACAGGGTGAAATTCAGCATTGAAGGCCACGCCATCCAGCAGCAGCGTCTCATAGGGAAGATGGCTTAGTTCATGTGGAATCGTTGGCGGTCATCTGACGCCTGTCACTCAGTGCTTGCTTGCCGGCTCCCCTCACACATGACCCCCCACCCCCTTGAGGTGACAAGGCCCGGCACAAGGACCGGCACAAGGACCAAGCGGAACCCCAAGCTCAACAGAGATAAGAGTTGAGGCACCAGGAAGGAGGTCGTTCTTGGAAATATTGCTGGGGCTGCAGCACGTGCTGGGGGTGAACAGAAAAGGAATAAAACCGACTTCTCGTTTGAGCAGCCCCGCTGGACAATGCGCAGGTCCAGTGGCCAGGATCTCATTGATGTGCTGGCCTCGGACAGAACCAGAGGTAACCCAGCAGTGGAGAGGCAGGTGGGCTCCAGGAGAGTGACTTGGGGACCGCGGAATCCTGTGACTGCTGGCAGGTCATAGACTCCAGGATACGGTTCCATCAGAGCCCCGAGGATGGTGATGATTTATTTCCTCTTTAGGAGGTAAATATTATTTCATTGCAGAAAGGAAAGAGCGCATTTAATTTCATTGGCCTTACCAGTAAGAACGTGAGAAATGCTACGCTAGGTCATGAGAATGAATGAATCCTCTGAGCATCAGACCGAGATGGCTGACGGAGGTACCAGTGGGCTCTGTGGGAGGACACTCTTAAAAGGTTGTGAATAAGTGTTTTCCCCAGAACACCTCTGACTCCCCTAAAGTATGATCCGGTAACACCGTTAGCATCCATTAGTCTTGTGATCTTTTGATTTGAGGATTTAGGGCAAGGACGCTGGCCATTATATCTCCTGTTTAGACATTGGAGAAACCAAGGCTTCCATTCATAATTAAGACTGGTCAATGGGGCCTTCACAGTACTTACCAAGCAGCCCTTGGTTAAGGTCCCTGTCAACTCAAGCACTGTCCAGACACCAGCTTATTTCCTGTTGCCCTCTGCTAGCAAGAACAACGTGAGGTCTCCCAGTGACCGGTATATCGTGCCACCTCTGATTGCGATGGTGCAGCCTGAATGAACCTCCCTGTGATTCAGAAGCCGATGGGCCCACGTGTCATTACAGGTGTGACTGTCCTCTTCTCTGCCGGACACAGGGGAGACCGTTGCAATTACTACACAGATTGCTTTCCTATCATTTGATTGAAGCTTCAGGGGGAAGGGAGTTTGTTAATGTAATTTCTTCCTCAATTTCTCGGTCTAGGAAAACTGGCAGCAGAGCCAGGCACAATCCAGCATTATTCATATTTCCATCCTTCACAGAAAGTATAAGTAGAGCACAGAAGTTTTGACATGGATCGTAACCACAGAGTCAGAGGGATTCTCCAAAGACCCATCTCGTGGAAATCAGTTGGCCAAGAGGATCTGGACCCGCTGATGCCCCTCCAGGCCAGTATCCGTCAGAGTGCCGTTCTGGTGGCTGTCCCTGTCCGCATCCAGCCAGTGGGTAAGGTAGAGGAGGGCCTTCTCCCTCTCGTGGCTGGCGTGAGGGTGGGCGTCGCAGGGCGAGTTTGCGCGTCACCCTATGGGTCTCTAGAAAGGGAGCCCCGGTGTGCATCAGACCCACGAGAAACGAGAGCTTCGTCTCCAGTGCGCCGCCATGTTATTCTGTCCCAAAGCCCCCTTCGCGTCTGCCGTTAGTCAAGTCTGTAGAAGGCAGGAGATTTGTGAGGCCAGCTTTCTCACGGTGGCTTTTAGGTCACAGCATCCTGGACTAGACATAGCGAGATGATTCCATTTAATTCTCCTCGTCCAACCAATAAACCAATAAAGGATATGTACTGAAGTACCGAAATAGTAAGACATCAGAAAAAATCTAAATATCCGATAACGAGAGATGAATGATATAAACTCGAGAACATCTGTGCAGTGAGACATCATGCGGCCAGTAAAAAGAAAGGCGCTGGCCAGCACGCACTGGTCCGAGATTACTTCAAGATACATTAAGTGGAGAAAGAAAGGTGCACAAAGTATGTGTAATAGGAATACATTATATACATTCAAATTATGTGAATGCATATGTGTGTATCTATATATGCTAGTACATTCATACAAATCTTTCCTAAGGTGTTCAAAAAAGTGTCAAAAGTGGATACTTTTGTGAAGACGGAGATTTTAAGTTTTACTTCTTCCCATATATATTTTTTCATGCTGAGTATGTATCGCTCTTCATTTTATTTTTATAACATTTTCCCAAAATTTCCCAGTCCGTCCCTTGAGGATCTCTCCAGGCTCTTCCCCTTGACCCCAGGGTGACCTTTTCTGACTGCGCAGGTGGTGACCTGAACACAGCACCCAGCCCAGGGGATGAGTGGGGGCTGAGGTCCAGCCTCAGCGGTGCTTGCCTAGCTCTGGACTCTGGCGCCAGGTCGTGACCACACAGAGCACATCCTTGTCCCAGCTCCTGAACGCCGCCACGCGGGCCGGTGGCAGCTCTGAGCAGCTCTTCATTGTCCTTTCGCAGCAGCGGCCCTTTATGTCCAGCTGTTTGATTTGGTTCTTGCCCCTCGCCTGCCCCGCTCACCTTACCTCTTCAGACCACCCTTCTCGGCCCCCACCCCTAGTCTCGGACTCAGACTCCGGACCTGTCCACCGCCACGCCCAGCCCAGACCTGAACTCGGGCCACCTGCTTGACTTGCCAGAAGTGAAGTCGGGCTCACTTATTCATGTCGCCCTGACTTCTGCATGTCTACGTGCCAATATTTCTCATGCACAATTTATGGACAGTCAGCTCTCGATTATCCACACAAATGGCAGTGAACATTGGCACATTATTATTCAAAAGAGCAGATGATCGCAAAGTGAGGGCTTTGGATAGTTGTCCTTAGAACATAATCAATGATCCTTTCTAATATAGATTTTTTTCCACAATAGATTTGCTTGAATTAAAATAAGTTGTATTCTCCATGTCACCTCTACAGAATGTAGCAGGACGGAAGGAAGGTACAGTAAATCCACCGGAGGTTAAATCAATCCGAGATTAAAGGTGTGTTCTGGATAATCTGCTTAGAGGAGCTGAGTTCACAATATTTAAAACCATACCTGCTTTTCTATTATACCACAGCCGTCTTTCTGCAAAACTAAGTATTCAGCCTGAGGCCAAACTAGCCTTTCTTCACAGTTGTTTGTCTTTAGTGAAATTATTTTGTGTGTGTGCAGTATTAGCGAATTTGATTTTATAAAGCATCCAAAAATCTCATTTTAGAATAACCACTTGAATCTTTAAGTCAGTTGCAACCCACTTTCTCTGGTCTAATCTTCAGAAGAAAGCATCACCAGTTTGTGAATTCCTAGGATTTGGCACACCGTACCATTTAGAAAGGCTCGCCGCTTTGTCGTAACCACAAACATAAATGGAATTTCGCATCGTGACTGTCGACTCTCAGGATTAGAGCACCAGGAGAATAGGATTTTGCGAAATATTCTGTGCAGAAGCCGTGTGTGTGTGTGTGTGTGTCTGTGTTTGCTCATCTTTTGTGATGGTTGTGCCTGATCTAGAATATTGGCACATTTTATCAGAGTCACATATATCCACAGAGCAGCACTGCTCCTCACGTGACAGGATGAAGTTCAGATATTCACGAATGGGCCTGTCCATGTTACCCTTTCTCCAAGAAGTATTAGATGGATCATTGTTTTCCACGACTGGAGCATTGAGAAGCAGTAAGTTTTTCTCCTTATTCATTTTTATTTTTGCGGGTCCTTCAGTGCCCCGCACCTGGCAGTCTATATACTACAAGTGGCCCCAGAGATTATTCTTGAAGAGGGGACAGGCAGAATCAGCCTAGTCTGTATAGATGTGAGTCCAACAGCAAACTGCCGCGTGTGGCTCACCAAATAAGTGTGTCAGGATAGAAATGTCAATTTGAGCAGATGTGTTTTCTGTTTTTATAATACAATTTAGAGAGATGGAATGGTTGTCATAGTGTAGGAGTTTCAGTGAGAGTTTTAAATTCAATAGAGAAGGAACCAGGAGGTATGTACCCAAGTGAGGCATGAGAAGGAGACTTCGTGCTTTAGCAAGAAACTGACGCTGCCCCCTCATCCTTCCTTGGGAAGATTTTGCAAAAGCAGCGATGAGAGCTCGGATTGCTAACAGCGATGCCGTGCAGAGGCGACCAGAGCTGTTTTGTCATCAGAAGAGCCTGGCGTGTAACCAGCTTACTGCCTCACATTTTAGAATAAGGGAGGCCAAGTCAATTTGGGCTGGTTTTGGAGCCAGGACCCGTCACTCACTGATGGTGTGAGCTTGGACTAGAGACCCGTTTCCTTAGCTCTAAAATGGTGGCTATGATAATAGTGCCTATCTAATAAGGTGACTAAGAGGATTACGGATAATTCATATAAAGGGTTTGGCACAGTGCCTAGCACATAGTAAGTGCTCAGTAAAACTTTACTTATCATTATGCTTATGAATTTGAAAACAGTATGTTCTCCTAAGTAGGCTAATCATCCACTTCGAATATTTTTCAAATGCGCTCTTCATAGATGTACACAAGTAAATTCCAATCAAGCTAGGTAAAATGATCATAAATTCCAAATTAGTGGTGGCTTGCAGAAATGTAATGTGGCTGTTTCTGTTACCTGCATTAATACTCCCCTCTATTTGTATAGATAATTGAGAGCGGAAGGTAGTCGAAATAAAATGCTAAAGCTGTGATGCCCAAGTGGAACTTATTTAAGGAGCGATAATGACTAGAAAATGGTCTGTAAAAATAGCTCTCGTCCTTACATCACACCCCTTGTTCCCAGCGGCACTTTCAAGACTTCCTGACGAACAGGCTGCCCTCCCGCAGACCCAGGATTCTGTTCTGCCTCACACGTCCCCAACACAACCGCCAGCTGAGTTCTAATTGCAGAATCTTCATTACCAGGGATGATTGAGACTATAAAAAGAACCCAGCTGAATTTTTCGCATCCTGCTGGGTGAGCGCAAGGACCGGCTCTCCTGTGCCTGCCCCCTCCACCTCTCGGCAATTATCCTTGGTCCATGTGTGGCCCAGCTTCTGCAGGAAACTGAGCAGTGGATAGATGTTACCTCCTTCTCCTCCGAACCTCCCTCCTCGGGGCGGGGGGTGGGCCGATGACCATGACAGGCATGACATACACGCCCCGCCCCCCTTCACAGCTTCAGAGACAGGAGCTTCATTCCTTAATCTCCCCACCTAAGTTTCTGCCTAAAGTCACCTGGAAGTGTGGGACCAGAGAGAGGAAGCAGACATTTCTCCTGGCCCCCTGGGCCTTTGTGACAATCTCTTGGTAACTATAGCTGCAGATTGGCCTTTTCCAGTTAAATCCTTTGTATTTCAGCCCATCAAGAAGCATTTATAAAGCACCTGCTAAGTGCTCAGTGCTGAGTTAACTGTAGTGAAGGGAGAGATCCGGAAGCCAGAGGCCACCAAGGAATTTAAAATCTAACTGGAAGGCAGAACTAGACAGGACTGCTCCTGGTTCTGTAGCTGTTAATTTTAAGAATCGAGGGAGTGACTTAAGCAAATTATATAGAAAATTTATGCAAAACCTTTGTGTGTGTGTGAGAGAGACAGAGACAGAAAGAGACAGAGAGAGAGAGAGAGAGGGAGAGAGAGAGCGCGCGCGCACATGTATTTGTATATCTAAAAAGAGAATGAAAGAAGTGTCTAGAAGTATATTCACAAAAAAATTAACGGTCTCTGAGACCTGTGCAGCAAAATGATCGAGAGCGTAGTCTGCGAAGATGCAATGAATGTAGGTTGAAAATCCCAATTCTGCCACTGCCCGTGTCACCTTCTCCAAGTTATATTCAGTCTCAAGTTTCACTTTTCTTACAGTGTAACTGTAGTATCTGATAGGATTCTCACCAGGACCGATCTAGGATGCTATAGGTAGAGTATTTTGCAGTGCTTGGCATTTAGACATAAGTGCTCGATAAATGGAGCTGTTTACAGTGATGAGGGAAAGGCCTGGAGAAGGCGAGACTGTACTGGCCCCTGGGGTTGGTGAAGATCTGGAGCTGGAGGGGAAGGCTGGGGGCATCGGGGCTGTGGAAACGTTCTGAGCAGAGGCGGAGGCAGGAAGGAGCCTCATCGGTTCTCCAGGACAGAGAAAGCTGTGTGTGAAGGGAGAAACAAAGCTGCAGAGGGGTTTTCGATAGAGGAGGGCCTCAGGGATTTCCGGTGGCGAAAAGAAAGCTCTTGAAAGTATCTGAGTGAGAACGGATCTTATCAGTCTAATTAGTGTGTCAGAAAATTGCCCTGTTGATGAAATTTAAAAAAAAAAACAAAAGTAGAACTAGGAGGGGAAGAGAGGCAGGACAGTGGCCGCGGTGGTGTGATTTTTCTTCTTCCTGACTCCCCCCAAGGGAGACAGAACGTATGACAGTTCTAAGGGCCAGAGAATTTAGAGATTCCTAACGAGTCTTCGCCCTCAAAAGTGCTGAAGCTGAACAGACCCCACCGAGCCTGCGA